AACTCTGCCAGCCTGCAAACGGCTTGTCACAAAACTGCAAAAATCTGCAGGTTTCCCCAGTAAAATAAGAAATCCTTGTTTGCCTCCAGAAAAAGGTAAAATCCATGGTTTGCTCCATTTTCCTGAGGGAAATGAAAAACCTGGATCCCTACTTGTTAACAAGCTAAAGAAATACAGACTAAATGAAAGTTCTGTATTATGGATAAATAACTGTACTTTGGGATGGAATAATTGTATGTACAAATAGAGACTGGAGGATGACTGGTTTGGCTGCAGAACTATAGAAAAGGACCTAGGGGTTTACAGTAGACCACAAGTGGAGTACAAGCCAACACCGCTCTTGCTGTAAAAAAGACCAACAGTACATTGGGTTGTATTAACAGGAGTGTCACTTGCAAATCAAGATAAGTGATTCTTTTGCTTTATTCAGCATTGGTGCGGTCTCAGCTGAAGTACTGAGTCCAGTTTTAGGAACCATACTTTAAGAAGGATGTGGACAGATTACAAAGTTGTTCAGAGACCAACAAAACTTATTAGAGGCCTGGGAAAGCATGCCTTACGCTGAAAAGCTAAAATAACATGGATTATTTAGTCTAAAGAAGAGAAAAGTGAAGGAAGGTGAGATAACTGTCTTCAAATACCTGAAGGGCAATGATAGGGAGGACAGAGGTGAGCTCTTCTCTGTGGCTAGAGGTGAGAGGACTAGATGCAAATGGCCTCATGCTGCAGCAGAGGAAATTCAGATTGGATATTAGGATGAACTACTTTCTGGCTATGGACAGACATTCAAAAGGCCTGAGCCTGAATTGATTCAATCTTAGCAAGGTAGTCTAACCTGACTAGACTGACTCAGCTTGCAACTGTAAAGACATTCCTTGTGGACGGGAAGAAATGCAGGCACATACCTGCAGTGGCTCAGGCTAGAAGCCAGGGGGTGCTAGAGCACCCCTCACTTCCCTTCCACACTGCTGAGCTGATGGGGGTGGCCAGGCCCTGGCAGGATGCTCTGATAAGGGAAGGATGTAAACCACCCGCACCCCCACCTGTACGGTCCCAGGCTTTTCCCTGCTCGCTGCTCAAGGAGTAGGAGTGTTGCCAGGCCCCAGCCCCCGGCTAGCACTTTAAGGCAAAGGGGGTGTGGGCAGTGCATACATCTGTTGATGATACAATCTCCCTCTTCCTGCTTCTTCATACTGTTTGAAAACCTGACAGGCAAGGGAGCCAGCAGGGGATTAATAACAGCATTTATCAGCCTATCAACAAAACAAAAGCCTCTCTTTTTAGTTCAAGCTGCTAAACACCTTTTTCCAAGGAAGGAACAGAGGGACATTACCAGCTGACCTGTTGATTAGCTCCAAAAAACCTTAAGTGGACACTGTCCCGTCTGCCTTTGTCCTGTCCCAGTGAAATTGGACACCCCCCCCCCCTCAGCATTAGCTAGCATACCACATCCGTGGGGCTGGGATCTGTGCTGTGGGAGATGGGAGGGAGGGAAGGGGAAATCTCTGCTTGAGCAACAAGTGGAGGGGGGTGGGGAGGGGCAGGGAGAAGCCAGACAGACCCTGCTGTGCCTGCAGTCTCCTTCAGAGGTCCAGCTAGGGGGCAGAGGGGCAGGGCCAGCTCTGCTCTCTGGATCAGAGAGCCCAGCCCAGGGCTGCAAAGCATCTGGGATACTGGGGGACTCTGGTTTAAATTAAACCAGGAAGGGATTTGGGACAGACACTGCATAAACCAGTTTGACCCAAATGAGTTAAGTCTGATACTACATTCAACCAGGTTTATTTTAAACCAGTTTCAGCCATTTTGAAACTGGTTTATATGCACCAAACTTATGTTCTGTTACAGGTTTAAACCAGTTTCTGATCACTTAAACCGGTTTATGTGTAATGTCTGTCCCTGACCTCTACATATGAAGACCGTCAAGCATTGAAACAAGTTACCTACAGAAGTTGTGGAATCTACATCCCTGGAAATTTTCAAGAGCAGGTTGGACAGAAGCTTGGGTGGGATGCTTTAGTCAGGGATGTTCCTGCATTGAGCAGGGAGCTGGACAAGATGATGGCGTGAGGTCTCTTCCAGCACTACTTTCTTATGATGCTATGCATCTATTATGAATCAAGCTGATCATCAGTTAACTCAATTAGCCAACCACTTAGCTGTTTCTGAATACTAATGTAGATGCTCCATGATCTCATGTTTCAGGATAGACATTCTACATTTTAGCTTGAACAAAGTTTGTGGTGAATCTATGCTAAAAACACTAGTGTTAGCTAAATCAAGTTAATTGGCAGTGAATTAACTCGAGTTCCAGGAATAAAAATGTTTGTCTAGACACGCCTTGAAGCACTGCTATAACCCTATTTTAAAGATGAAATAAAATGATCTTTTGCTGGCATTTCATATTTATCACTAGTAGGACAATAAGTAGAACAATGGCACTTACGGTCATTAGTGTTTTATAACCTGTTTATGTCCTATCGCTAGGTAATGTTAATATAAATCAATACAGTTTAAAGACATTTCCCATATTGACACTAATGTAGGTATTTGTACTTGGCACTGAATATTGCAATCAAACAGAAAACCCCCCAAGCCCCTTATAGTCAAATATAGTCTATTCAGTAGATTAACAGCATACATCATACTTTATGGGACTAAAGGGTTTTGCTGTCATATCATTAAAACATAAAAGACAAAGACATAACTTGAATAAGAACTGATTATTTTTAGTGTTCCTAGCAAACTCAATAACAGCTTACCCAACTAGACAGCCATGAACTGGATAGATGTTTAAAAGATGTTTTTCAATCAATACCCAAAAGTAAAACAAGTTCAAAACGAACAACTTCCAATTCATATTTAACATTTAATTAAAAATCTGGTCACTATACATCATATATAGGTATTTTGCTATCTTACATGTTGGAAGAGACAGTAAGCTAATTGAGAATGGTCAGGAATCCAACTGGTTGAAATTAACTGAAATTACAAGAAGCTTAATGGGAACTTTGGAGTACAAACTCATCTATATAAATGCTTCAGGTATTTGACTTGCACACCCATTTGCCAGCTTTTTCATTAGAACAATATATTACCAAATGAAGGGTAAAACACTTTACATACATTTTAAAGTACTCATGCTGCTTTTTGAAAGTTGAATTGGAATCACAGGGGGTTCTAAAGATTCTTCCCTCAAAGCAAGGTTACAATATTTGGCTTTTTCTGCTAATTGCCTTATGGAGATGTTGGACTCAATTAGTAGCTTGTTGTTTACTTTTGAAGGAACAAAATTAGGATGGAGTTAAAAACCTAATTACACCCTAGAGTCAGCATCTCTCAAACTCTGCTTAGGACAAGGAAAAAAATCCCTCAAATTAAATGCATGTCTGTGAAGCAGAATGGACTGCAAAGATATTGTATATTAGAATCACCTAATGGAGAAGGGTTTGCCTTAGCCAAGATGGGTCATCAGGCTTGTGTGGTTAAGGCACACCAGGTTCTGCAGCCAATGATACACAGTGTAGGCACATAGCTGGCACTGCTTCTGGCCATCTTTGGCTTCCCAGCCTAAATAACAAGGTACTTATTTACAGGGAGGTCAGCCTTCAGCAGAGGTCCAGTGTGAAGCTTGAATTTATGCCTCCTGGATCTGCAGAGAGCCACCTTAACTACTTAGCTTTCCTATCACATATCTCAATAGTAACAGTAATAATAAAAGAGAGGCTTAAATTAGTTATTTTACTACCCCTTTAACACTTCAACTCACTAGAAGGTTCTGCAGAATCATTTAGCTTTGGGGAGCCCATGAAGAAACCTAATCAAAATGTACCAATTCATATGATATTAGGATATAGACAGACCTAACAACTGTAGCAATATCCCAGGGAGCAATATACGGTTGAAGTTATATGTTACACTTAGACCATACTAATGGCACTTAAAATGTGAATATCTGCATGCTGGAGCTTCTTAACTCTTGCTAAGTGCCCTCTGAGCATCTCAAAGTTATGCCCTGTCAGGTGAGGGTTCACTCTGAGCCTAACTTGTGTTAGGGTAACTTCAGTCTGCTCCAGGGAGAGAAAACCAGCAACTTCCCAGAATGCACACCCTCCAGCACCCCACCCACAGGGGTAGAGCCTTCTAGCAAGTCACAGCTGTGCAGGCAAAAAATGGTATTAACCCATAATATGCAATTGCTCACAGCACATTCTAACTTTACCACCCTTTCGCATACCAAATTTAGTATGATTTAAGTCAAACACGTAGCTTGAGGATGCAACTGTTATGACTGCAATATCCTATGACAGTACAAGTATAGAAAACACTGCAGCTTTAACCCTTTTTCATTCGAAGTCAAACTTACAGTGATTTAGCCCACTTCTGTCAGTAGAAGAGCAGACTGATATAATAGCAAAACAATGGGGTGGTGAGAGACACGAGCCCTGGGTGCTGCCTAAGAGGGGGTACTGGAATGGAGCTGAGGGGGTGCTTCATCTCCTTCTCCTTCTCTATCCCCACCCCTTTCCCCACACTCTGCACCTTCCCTGCAGTGGCTCCAGCTCTGGCAAAAAGGGGGAGAAAGCAGCAGCACATGGTACAGGAACAGCTGCTGGAGGTTTGCTGCTGCCAGGGGTACATTTCACTTTCTTTTTTGCTGCCAAGGGTTGGTATTTAATTGGCCACATACATTTTGGCAGGAACAGGAAGCAACATCTCCCCCCTCTTGCCACAGCAGCAAACTCTGGCTGCTGCTCCTGTACCATGTGCTACCACCACCTAGAGCACAATACTGGCCAGTTACGCCTCTGTGAAGATATAATGGTTAGACGGTAGCTACTGATGTACAGTTTCAAGCAGGAGCTCCCTCTCCCCTCTTAAAGCCATTAAAAGATAAACAAGCTTGTACTTTCATCTCACATTGCTACAATAGTCTACCTTTCAGAAGTGTTTCATACCACTGTGAAAGTATTATTCAACCCTATGCCACAGAAGGCACTTACCTCAATATTTGTAAGCACCATTTCCCTAAAAACATAGGCAATAGTGCAATCCTCAGACTGGCATTTGACACGAAAGTTGCCATACTCCATTATTTCTGGTGGATCAGGCCAATACTGATGACATTTCGTCTGCAAAGAAAAAGGCAGTAAAGTACATATCATGAGCTTAAAATTAATACTTTCACCTTTACTTAAAAGGGCACCGCTATGTCCTAACTCTTTCATTGCAGGCCAACTCTCGGAGTGTTAAGAAGAGTATTACAGCTATTCCTGTTTGGCTAGTGAAGTGGTTTTAATCAGGATCTGAGATCAGCATAACATATCAGATCCAATTCTCCACAGACTTTTGTTCTGTGTAGTAATTTAAACCTGCACAAGAAAAAAAAACCTCAGCTAGTCACTCTTTAGAGCAGGAGTGGCCAACCTGTAGTATGCCTGCCACAAATGACAGTCAGCCTCTGTGTGTAGCATTTGGCAGATTGGGCAAGAGCAAAAAACAGAGAAAGGGGATCAGGGTGGCAGGTTTAATCTGTAGCACACCTACAAAAAAGGTTGGCTCACGCTGCCTACAGCAGTGTAAAGAAATGGCTATACCACGTATGAGGTGGTAAATAATACCCATCCTTGCAAGTGGCATCAATCTTTTTTGCCAATTATAAGCCAGCCCCTGTCAACCCCTCCATTTCTCCCCCTTACACCAAATAAGCATGGCACACCAGAGTGCAGGGTGTCTAGGGCTAGGGACAGACATTACACATAAACCTGTTTAAGTGATCAGAAACTGGTTTAAACTTTTAAAAGAACAAAAGTTCAGTGCACATAAACCAGAGTCCCCCAGCATCCCAGACACTTTGCAGCCTGGGCTGTGCTCTCTGCTCCATGCAGGCACAGAAAGGTCTTCTTGGCTCCCCCCTGACCCACCCTGCCTCTCACCACCTGCTGCCCAAGCAGGGATTCCCCCCCTCCCTAGCTCCCGTCTCCCACAACACAGACCCCAGTCCCCGCAGACCCTATGCATGAGATACATTAGTTAATGCTGAGAGGTGTGTGTGCGCACATGTCCAATTTCACTGGGACAGGACAAAGGCAGACAGAAGTGTTCACTTAGGCCTTTTTGGAGCTCATCAACAGGTCAGCTGGTAATGTCCTTCTGTTCCTTTCCTAAAAAAAGCTGTTTAAGAAACATTTGAACTAACGAGAGAGGCTTTTGTTTTGTTGATGGGCTAATGACTGCTGTGTTGATCAGCCCCCTGCTTGCTCCCTCGCCTGTCAGATTTCTAGACAGTATGAAGAAGCAGGGAGAGGGAGGTTGTATCATCAACAGATGCATGCACTGCACATCCACCGTTTGCCTCAGAGTGCTGACTGGGGGATGGGGTCTGGCAACACTTTTGCTGCTTGAGCAGTGAGCGAGGAAAAGGCTGGGACTGTGCAGGCAGGGTGGGGGTTTAAACCCCTCCCTAATCAGAGTTTCCTGCTGTAGCCTGGCCAGGCCCCTCTTCAGCTCAACATTGTGGAAGAGAAGTGAGGGCTGCTCTAGCACTCTCCAGCTTCTAGTCTGAGCCACTGCAGGCAAGTGCCTGCATTTACTCAGTCCAGAGGGAATGTCTGTCCAGTTACAAACTGATTCAATCCTAGTTTCATAGTTTCATAGTTTCTAGGGTCGAAAGGGACCTGAGCAGATCATCTAGTCCGACCCCCTGCCATGGCAGGAAGAGCACTGGGGTCAAACGACCCCAGTAAGGTGGTCATCCAACCTCCTCTTAAAATCCCCCAGGGTGGGAGCCTGCACCACCTCACTTGGAAGCTGGTTCCAGTCCCTAGCCGCCCTGACCGTGAAGTAGCGCCTCCTGATGTCCAACTTAATCCTTCCCTCCGCCAGCTTGTGACCATTGTTCCTGGTCACTCCTTGCGGCGCTCGGGGGAACAGGGACTCCCCCAGCGCCTGCTGATCCCCCCTAACCAGTTTATAACAGGCCACAAGATCCCCCCTCAGCCTTCTCTTTTGAAGGCTGAACAGGTTCAGGTCCCGCAACCTTTCCTCATAGGACCTACCCTGCTGTCCCTTGATCATACGAGTGGCCCTCCTCTGGACCCTCTCGATGCTGTCCACATCCCTCTTAAAGTGCGGCGCCCAGAACTGGACGCAGTACTCCAGCTGCGGCCTGACCAGTGCCGCATAGAGGGGGAGGATCACCTCCTTGGACCTGCTCGAGATGCATCTGTGGATGCACGACAAGGTGCAGTTGGCCTTCCTAGCCGCCTCCCCACATTGCCGACTCATGTTCATCTTGGAGTCAATAATGACTCCCAGATCCTTTTCCACCTCCGTGCTGACAAGAGGGGAATTCCCCAGCCTGTATGTATGGTGCCGATTGTTCTTCCCCAGGTGCATCACCTTACACTTGTCCATGTTAAACCCCATCCTGTTCTCCTCTGCCCATCCTTGTAACCTATCTAGGTCCAACTGTAGCCTGTTGCTCCCCTCTATTGTGCCCACATCCCCCCACATCTTAGTGTCATCAGCAAACTTGAACAGGGTGCTTTGCACCCCCTCATCCAAATCACTGATGAAGATATTGAACAGGGCAGGCCCAATCTAGGCAGGTAAGACTACCCTGCAAAGACTGAATCAATTCAGGCTCAGGCTTTTTGAATGTCTGTCCCTAGCCTAGCAAGGAGATGAAATTGACACTGCGGCTGTCTAAGCAAGTGTTGAAGAGCTGCAGAGATCTTGGGGGAGACCCGGAGCATTCAGCACCCTTCCCACAACCACAACCAGGAGACCATACAGCCCCTCAGCAAAGGACAGATCCAGACGGGGTGCAGTTACATGGATGCACCACACTTTCAGACCATGCTGTGGGAGCAGCAGACCATGCTGTAGAGGCAGCAGGTAAGAATCTCTCTTCTCTTTCCTTTCCATCCTTGGCAGCACATCCCCTTCCTCCCATCCCTGTTATTTCCAGTTGATGGGGGTAAGGTTCCAGAGCCACCCCTACTCTGCTTCAGTCAGGTACAGCAGCTGTGGGTGGGTTCCCCCTCCCCACGCTTGCAGGGAACACCCAAAGGATTGGTCAGAGAGGAGGAACTCACCCCTACCTCTGTTGTTCCCAGCTAGAAAAAGGCAGTTGCAGCTCTGGAGCCAATGGCCCCCTAGACCAGTGGGGGACAGAAAGGACAGTGGCAGTGGTGGGCAGGGCAGTTGGGGAATGGGAGGAGGGTGCTGCTGAGCATGGAGGGGAAGGGAGCAGGTAGCAGTTGGCAGGACCAGGGGGTGAGGCCGGGTTACTTTCCTGATGTGGGGACTTAAAATCAGCCCCTGCTTCTGCTCCCACATTGTGGTATGCCTACCCCAGCAGGGGAGAGAAGCTAGGAGTGGGGGGTTTGAACCACAGAGTCCTGGCTTCACTCCAGAGCAGCCCCTTGCCTGCATAAGTTGGGGGAAGGGAGTGAGAAGTGGTGCACTTTTGGATGCCTGAAGGACTGACCAGATACAAGACACAGAATGCTCTGTGTCCCATGTAACATTTTGCTGGTTCACGGACGACTGGCTCAAAATAGTACTTGGTTTTCCTGGCATGCATTTGAAACATTCTAGGAAATTAAAGATGGCCTTAAGTGGCGTGCACACCCAGACTCTTTGGGTTTCTAATATTTAGAACATTCACACCATTCTGTCTGTCCAGACCCTCAGTTTATTTTTACATGTGCTTTGTTTACTGATGTAAATTACACTGAGACTACTAAGGACGGATGTGCATCTACCTTGGAGAAAAATCAACAGTAAGTAGCTACTACTGTGCCTTGCTGTAAGGTGACAGGGAAGTAGCCTATTTGCCTTTCTTGGGTTGGGACTGGGGCAGGTAATAACTGCACTGGGTCAAAGAAAATTAATTCATGTTAGGGTGTTTGCACCATTTGTCAGTTTTTTTACATCAGTTTAATTCAGTTACACCCATACAATATTACCCGGAATTCCTTCAGGACTAATTCCCCACTGGATCAGACAAAGTTACCCCAGTTTAGGAGATCTGCATCATCTGCCCACTTCCTTTTTATATCACAATAATGTAAATTATGCTCAGGGTGAATATTCTGTTTGTCTATCATGAGATTAACTGCAAACAATTTACAACATTTAGGAATACCGGAAAGAGTCCCTCAGGTACTAAAGATTTGTTTTCCTAGGCAATACCAAAGGCAAGGACAGTATCTAAAACAACAGCATCAAAACTTTTTAGCTTAAGGGCCACACACATTTCAGAAAGATCAAAGGATCAGATTTAGGGGATAGATTCTGCTTTTTGTGCATCATTTATGAAGGTCAAATGGAGTAAAAAGCACCTCTTAATTGCCTCCAAGCAGACCCATCAACACCCAGAAATTTTCACTAAGTTTACACTACCTTGGGGGTCTAAGAGAAGGCTGGACAGGCATCTGGCTGGGGTCATCTGACCCCAGCACTCTTTTCCTGCCTAGGCAGGGGGTCAGACTCAATGATTTGTTGAGGTCCCTCCTGACCCTACCATCTATGAATGTATAAGGTTCCAAAAAAATGATGGAGGCTGCACGTTCAAGGGACATGGCTGTCATGGGTGACCTCAATTACCCTGACATCTGCTGGGAGGAGAACTCAGCCAGATCTGACCAGTCATGTAGGTTTTTGACCTGCGTGGAAGAACTTTATTAAGTACAGGAGGTGGACGGGCTGACTACGGGGAAGGCTTTGTTGATTTTGGTTCTAGCCAAATGGGATGACCTAGCAGGAGATCTGAGGATTGAGGGTAACCTGGGAGACAGTGATCATGAGATGACAGAATTCACTACCTGCCATAGGGCAGGGAAGTCAGCCAGTAGGGCAGAGGTGCTTGACTTCAGGAAGGCTGATTCAATATTCTTAGGAAAATAGTGGGAGAGACTCTATGGGAAGAGGGACTGGAGAAGAAGGGAGTTCAGGAAAGGTGATTGTTCCCCAGAGTGCAGAAAAGGTCCATTTCTGTATGCAAGAAATGTGGTAAAGGGTCTGGGAAGCTCTCTTGGCTTACCAGAGGAGTCAAGAAATGCTTAAGAAGGAAAAAGGAGTCTTACAGACAGTGGAAACAAGGGGTATTTACCAAGGAGTAAAG